ATAGTGGCCATCCTAGGATAGGATAGGATAGGATAGGATAGGATAGGATAGGATAGAATAGAATAGAATAGAATAGAATAGAATAGGATAGGATAGGATAGGATAGGATAGGATAGGATAGGATAGGATAGGATAGGATAGGATAGGATCTGGGGCACCTGGTTGGCTCAGTCAGTTAAGTGTCCAACTCTTGATTTCAGCTTAGGTCATAATCACATGGTTCGTGGGTTTGAGTCCCACATTGGGCTCTGCAGTCCTGCTTGGAATTCTCTCTTGCTCTCTCTGCCCCTCCCCTGCTTGCTCTCTCTCTCTTTCTCTCTCTCTCTCTCTCAAAATAAATGAATAAACTTAAAAAAATAATAATACAATACAATAGTGGTAGTTTGGGGTTCGTATTTTTCCATGATTTAGTATACTAGACCTGGATGTGTCCTACGGCCCAGCCACCAGTGTCCCTCCCGGTGTCCCCAACAGAACTGAGGTCCAGAGAGAAGAGATCCAGGCGCAGTGGCTCAGATCCTGATGGACACACAAGATGACATCTGAGATTGAGACCCACTGGCCAGCAGAGACTAGGAGGAGGCCAGGGTCAGGCCGAGTCATGACCACAGTGCCTCTGCACCCCCCCACCCCCGCCACCCTCCCCACTGCAGGTGCTCAGGAACCCACTGGAGGGCTTCTTGGAGGCCGGGACTGCGGCTGTTTGTGGTTCTGAGCAAGGACCGCCGTAGCTTTCGGAGAATGGCTGTCCTCAGTCTACGTGGGGGCTCCTCTCCCCTGCCTGCACTTGCCTCCACTTGGAAATGTCACTGTCATCTCAGACCCAGGTCATAGAAAGCCATCTGGTCATCGCCTCCCAGAGCTTGTTCTCCTATAACCTGCTTTGAGCCCTTGTACGAGAGTCAGAGGCCGGGAACCGCAGACATCGTGGAGTCCCCCTCCTCTCGAGGGCCCCTCCCCTCCATCTTCCTCCTGCGGTCGCTCTGTCCATGCACCCTCCCCACGAGGTACCTCACCCCTCATTCAGTATGTCCCCAGAACTGAGATGTTTCTGCTTGCTGGTCTGGCCGTCTCCATCGGGGCTCCCCCCTACTCGGCTCCCTGCAGCTGTTCCCATACTTGTTCTTGAAGATCATCAAGGATCTCCACCGGCTAGGGATTAGTTAGCTCCTTGGCTCACTTCCCAACCAGACCCTATTTCCTGCAGCCGCTGGGCCTCTCTCTGGACAAAACAGATTCCCTCCCCTTTCTCAGTGACCTTGACAAAGATAATCCCCAACTATTTGCGGGATGCTGGTATTTGGAACCACCTGAACACTCTTCCCCAACCAGCAAAACGAGAGCAGCAAATCTCTGTTCCCGTAGACGAGGATCCAATGAGATAAAGCGGGTTTAGGAAAACCACAGCACTCTGGTGGCCTGTCGGGCGGTGTACTCAACCCGCGCTACTGTTTTCATGTCTCCTCCTATGATGTGCCTTACAGGTTTATTTTTCTTCCCCTCCGCCTACCAGGGACATTTCCCCTCCCTTCCTCCCCTTCTCTCCCGTCTCCAAATTCTGGCCTTTCTCTGGACCAGCCGCTCAAGCTTTCTCCGTAGGTGGACGCCCAGTATTACAGTCTTGACAGATTTCCTCAATATCATCCTTGCCTCAAGATCTTCCAAGTGTGCTCTGTCCCTTGTAGGCTGAAACTCTATATAGTTTTCACCCTTGTCAACATCGTCATCATCAATATCATCAATAAGTGTTTGTAAATACCTAAAGATACGAGGACCCTGTTGAGACTCTAAACAGCCTCAGTAAAGCATCTGCAGTCTTCCAGAGACATGAAATGATGAGGCAGCAAGATTGCTACCTGGGCAGATGAATGGCAATGAGGGTGGCTGTATGTGTGCAGACCCTAAGGCTGGCATCAAGCGGCTTTCTCGGCCTGAGGTCCGTGCGCTCACGGACACACACAGCTTCTGAAGTGGGCCGTGACTCCATCTGCCCATCAGGCATCGTGTCTGGCGTGGAAATTGCTCGTGTGCGCTCCTCACAATGCGCAGATATTATTCTGTGAAATCAAAACACGAAGTCACAACTTTATCGGCACATAGCGTCATGATCTGTCAGTTGCCTTCGTCAAGTGATACGGAAATTGCAACCAGAGCCACGTGCCATTTTGATGTTAAGGAGCCTCTGTTCGAAAGAAACGTTGCCGTCTGGAGCGCCTGGGTGACTCTCAGTGGGCTAATAAGCGCCTGACTCTTGGTTTCCACTCGGGTCATGATCTCACAGTTCCTGGGTTCAAGCCCCATGTCAGGCTCCGTGCTGATGGTGCAGAGCCTGTTTGGGGTTCTCTCTCTCCCCATCCCTCTTTCTCTCTCTCTCTCTCTGCCCTTGCTTGCTCTCTGTCTCTCTCAAAATAAATAAACTTACTTAAAAAAAATGTCATCCATTAACATAACCCCGGCTCTTAGGTAATTCAGATTTGATTGGCCCGTGGTGGGGACTTGGGCCCTTGGAAAACTTCCCAAGTGATTCTTCAGCATAGCCAGGAGGAGTCCCCTGGTCTCAGCCTGTGTCCTTAAGCCCAGAGCACACAGAGGCGTCTCAGATGTGGTTTTTCGCTGTGTCTTCAAGAGATCGAAGCATACGGGACAGGGTGTATGGTGAGGCACAGACAGGGGGCACGCTTGTGGGTTTTCCAGGGTCAGGGAACATGAGACCCGTTGCCAGCCAAGTGGGGGAAGGGGAAGGGAGATTCGGGATCGAGGGTCCGGCGAGAGCCCTGCCTTCCCGGCGGCACCAGTAGCTGCGGCCCTGCAGGGGACAGGTATGTGATGGCCTGGAGTCTGGCATTGAGTCCCGGGGCCCAAATGGAAGCACACTGACGGTGTTTGCTGTGAAGCAGTTCAGGGCCTTTTCGGATCTATTATTATTTTCTCAGAAAGAGCCAGACATCCATTTTGTTAGTGTGAAATGTTCCAGGTTTTTCACTGTTGGCTGAGGTCCGTGCGTGTGCCCAGGCAGACGCGTGCACACATGTAACACCGAGCTGGACAAAAAGCATCCCGGGGTGTCCTTGCAGCCTGCGGGGTTGCAGCTCTTGCACGGGGGTGTGATCGGGGTGCGGAGAAAGGGGTGAGAAAATGCACGCCTCGCAGTGGGTGCTGGGTTCCCGGCAGGTGGAGGGAACCCCAGGAGGCAGCAAGATGGCTTGGTAGAGGCTAGGTGGTCGGGGACGTGGCCTTTATACCGAGGTCAGTGATGAGAGCTGGGGTGGCTGCTTGGGGAGATTCTTTTTTGTTAATTCTTTTTTAATGGCTCTTTATTTTTGAGGGAGACAGACACACAGCATGAGCAGGGGAGGGGCAGAGAGAGAGGGAGACACAGAATTGGAAACACGCTCTAGGCTCCGAGCTGCCAGCACAGAGGCTCGAACCCACAAACCATGAGATCATGACCTGGGCCAAGATCAAGAAGTGGATGCTTAACCCGCAGAGCCCCCCAGGTGCCCCACATGTAAGGTATTTAACGAGAAAAAAAGGAAATAAATTCGTGTCTACGTTTCACAGTAGAGGGTAAGCCTTGAATGTCACTCCTAATCCTTGTGTTAACCAGTGACATGAATGGCAGTAGTTTGTGGCCTTTTCTGAATCCCATTTGCTATTTTCTCCCCAATTTTAAGCAGCCTCTTTTGTTTTGCAAGCAATACACAAAATTAGGAAATGCGTAGCAGGGGAAAGAGCCAAACCCTATGCTACCTGTCACCCATTCTTCGGTGCCTCTTTCTGGACTGCTTATGACACATTGCTACAATGGGTAACTCTTAAAAATGGGATTTTCCATAACTGATAATAATTGTTTTTTTAAAAAATCCTTATCAAGCACTGCGGCATATCAAATTATATACTTTTAAAGTATATTTAACTAGTACCAGCACAGGGGCTCCTGGGTGGCTCAGTCACTTAAGTGAAGTCTTTGACTTTGGCTCAGCTCATGATCTCATAGGTCGTGGGTCTGAGCCCGTGTCCAGCCCTGCACTGACAGAGCAGAGCCTGCTTAAAATTCTCCCTCTCCCCCTCTCTCTGCCCCTCCCTCAATCGTGCTTTTTCTGCGTCTCCCTCTCTCTCTGTTCCTCCCCTGCTCACATACTGTCTCTGTCTCTCTCTCTCAAAACTAAATAAAGATTAAAAATAGATTTTTTATAGATTATTAAAATATATATAATATATATAATATAATATATAATATATATATAAATATATTTTTAATAGAGTATTAAAAATCTATTTAAAAAAAAAAGATTAAAAAATAATAAAAAATAAAAAAGATTGTTCTGAAGGAGACTTTAGACCTGTTACCTTTCGGTGGGTTGGCAGGACTAGGGGTGGGGGGGATAAGGTGAGCAGGAGTGGCCCCTGGGGTCAGGATGTCTGCTTTCCATCCCTATTCTGACACCCCGATAACCAGGGGCCTTCAGGGGAGCTACAGATCTCTTGGACCCCCAGTTTTCTCAGCTGCCAAATATCCTGAAGACTGAACGAGGTGACCTGCCCAAGGCTGTTATTAGCGTGGGTCCTGATGCTGGGAAGACGGTTACAAAAATACTTCTGTAAAGTAAGGTCCTTATGTATAAATAAATGTCTACACAAGCAGGCTTCTCTGAGGACCGAGAAAAACTTGTAAGAATGATTTGTCGGGTGGGGCATCCAGGGGGCTCATCAGGTTCAGCGTCCGACTCTTGAGCTCGGCTCAGGTCGTGATCTCACTGTTGGTGAGTTCGAGCACTGACAGCTCAGAGTTCGTTTGGGACTCTCTCCCTCCCTCTCTCTGCCCGTCTTCTCACTCGCGCTCTCTATGTCAGAGTAAATAAATACACGTTTAGGGAAAATAAAGAAAAAAAAAAAAAAGAATGATTTGTCAGGAGGAAGCATCCTCACGGGTGATTGTATGGACTCCGAAGTCGGGAGCTGCCCCCTCACCCCCTCTTTCTGTGCCGCCCCTGCTTCAGGAGGAAGACGAAGGGTCGCGCCCCTCCTCCGCCTGGGAAGCCGGCCACCCCGAACGCGCACGGTGGACAGACACTTCGCCGAGACGTGTCGCCCGGCCCTCCACAGAGCCTGCTGCACATGGAGAGCCTGGAGAACAGCTCGGTGGCCGTCACCGTGGTTCTGCCCAGCGGGCTGGAGAAGAAGAGCGTGGTCAGCGGCAGGTAAGGGCCCTGGCGCCTCGGGGCGGGGGGGGGGGGGGGGGGGGGGGGGGGGGCGTCCCCCCCCCCCCCGGGTCCTGGCCGGCCCACAGGGGGGGGGGGGAGGGGGGGGGACCCCGCCGTGGGGGGGCGGGGGGGGGCCCCCGGGGGCAAAAG